CGATGATCGCTGTCACCCAGATGGTCGAGCACCCGCAGCCCCTTTAAGGCATAGTGGCACCTTAAAGAGCGAATGGTTCAGAGAGGCATGAACTTGTGCAGGCAACAACCTATTTCATCTGGTGCTAAGAATGGACAGTTGTAAATGGACAGTTAGTAAAGTTAAGGCCTACAACGTTCTGGGCACCTGAGACAGGTGAAGCCTGATGCCATTTCTCCGTCTGTATGGATACAACATGGTCACTTCTGATGCCATACCTGACCAATGCTCAAATTCCAGGGAACATTTTGGGCAGTTGGGTGAAACCCAACTGATCTGGAGGGAAGTGTAAAAACCAGAGGGGAGATGGGAGGCATGCTGCGGGCCTACCATGTGGGCAGCAGAACAAAGGGCTCAGGTACCTCTCTGACTCTTTGGAGCAAAAAGGAGTTGACAATGCTACTGAACATAATATCCCCTGCTCATCCTCAAAATAAAGTTTAACCCATTAATTCCCTGAAACACTTCTCTTCCAGACAGTAAAAGGGAAATGACCATAGTGGAGGAAGGGAGGTATACAGAGGTAGAGTGGGGTATGGTGGCATAGATGGACCCTCTGTCAAGGGGGAACACACACAACCCCAGGAAGACAAGAACAACGGAGGACTCTGATAAAGAGTGGGAAGCAGAACGTGGTTATTGGAATAACCAAGCCCTGGAATCAGTGGGGAAAAACAAAGTGCACAGAGCCCTGGCACAAGAGAGAGAAGGTGAAATCCTGGTATCATAAGGAACCCTGCTATCCGAAGACATGTGCAGCTCCTCAAAATACCCTGGCAAGGCAGAGAATCCTGACCAGTACAATGTACTACACGGGAACCTAACCACACAGGGACTATCAACTTTCCTGGAATCAAAGAGTGAATCAGAGCTGGAACTTTTTTTATTTTTATTTTTTACAAGCCTCTCCTCTTTTACAAGCCTCTCCTCTTTCTACAAGAGAGTTATAAGAAGAACTACATGTACCCATTGTTTTATGGGTGGTATAAACATTGGCTAGAGTGGTAAAAAAAAAATAATAATCAGAGAAGCACTAACTCCTGCTTCCTTTTACTGTTCCCATTACATTTTCCAAACTACTGCCACACAGTTAGAAAGCCCGGGTGCTTGTCATAGAAAAAAACAGGGAAAATCATCAATTTTAGTTTAAGACCAACCATGCTAGGGCACACAATATTTTAATATTACAGTGGCTTGGCTAATGAAATCTAAAGGAAATTCGACTAAATAGATTAGCTAAAAAGATCTTAAATTTTTCAATAATAATAATTTAATCTAAAATCTCACAATTTAATCTAACTATATTTAGATCATTTAAAACCTCACAATTGGAGCTCTAGATTTCAATGGGGCTACATGACTAACCTTCCCAAATGACTGTGTAAGTGTCACTTATTACTGTCCATCTGTATTTTTAAGCGCCTTGCAAAGCTGACCTTTCCTCAGCGTAGAGATGCACAGAACAAGAAAAGAGCTGTATTGGATCTGCCATGCTACCGGATATGGAGCAACTAGGGAAGACAAATTGAGGGAAAAACCTCAGGCAGTTGGAGAAGGGTCCACGGTCAAGAGTTAAGACTTTTCCTCTCACAGCCTGGATGCAATGGAACTAAGACAGACATGATACATGCCTAAACAGACTTACCCAAAATGTGACTTGTTACGTGTATTATGAGCAATGAAGATGTCTCGGAAGCATACATACAGGGCTCTAATTCCATTTCTAACCATGATTTTTTTATTTATTTATTTTTAACTCAAAGGGTAGTTAAACATGAAAACAGATTCCCTATAGCAGAGGTTAGCAACCTATGGCCTGCATGCTGGATCTGACCTGAGAAGCCACTAAATCCAGCCTACCACGTTGGGGCTTTTGACCACACTGCACCCAAGAGAAGTGGCAGCAGTGGCCAACTACAACAGGCCTGTCTCCAGCCTGCCACTAAAAAATGTTGTCGGATACCGCCCTAGAGAGGTTGCAGAATCTCCATCGCTACGAGCACGTTCATGCCTTGAGCAACGGGGTTGGACTAAAGGAGGATCCGGGTAACTATAGACAGTTTAGTCTCACCTCTATCCTCAGAAAAACCTTTGAAAAAGCCATTAAGGATCGCATTTATGGGAGTCCAGCAGGGAAAGCAATGCTAAAGGGCAACCAGCATGGATTCAAAGCAGGCAGACCCTGCCGGACTAACCTTGATACTTTTTACTACCAGGTCACAAAATGCTTAGACACAGGAATCAAGGTGGATGTCATCTACTTGGATTTCAAGAAGGCCTTCGACACGATATCTCATTATATTCTCATAGATAAACTGAGCAGCTCTGACATAGATGATTACACGGTCAGGTGGGTGACAAATTGGCTTAGGGGTCACACCCAGAGAGTGGTGATGGATGGGTCAGTATCAACCTGGAAAGATGTGGGCAGTGGGGCCCCGCAAGGCTCGGTGCTTGGATGGGTACTGTTCAATGTCTTCATCAGTGACTTGGCTGAGGGCGTGGAAAACACTCTGTCCAAATTCACAAATGATACCAAATTATGGGGCAAAGTAAACACACCAGAGGGTAGAGAACGAATCCAGGTGGATCTGGACAGGCTGGAAAGTGGGCGGAACAGAACAGGATGCAATTCAATGAGGACAAATGCAAGGTGCTGCACCTAGGAAGAAGGAATCACCAGCGCGCTTACAGGCTGGGGGACAACCTTCTCAGCAGCACAGCAGCAGAAAGGGATCTTGGAGTCATAGTTAACACCAAGATGAACAGGAGTCATCAATGTGATGAAGTGACCAGTAAAGCTAACCGCACTTCATCATGCATTAGCAGATGCATGATGAACAGGTCCAAGGAGGTGATACTTCCCCTCTATTGCGACATTGGTCAGGTCACAGTTGGAGTACTGCATCCAGTTTTAGGCACTGCACTTCAAGAGGGATGTGGACAACCTTGAGAGGATTCAGAGGAGGGTCACTCATATGGTTAGGGGCCTGCAGCCAAAATCCTACAAGGAGAGATTGAGGGCCCTGAATCTCTTCAGCCTCCGCAAGAGAAGACTGAGAGGTGATCTTGTAGCTGCCTACATGATCAGCATGGAATAGGAGATGCCCTATTTACCAGGGCACTCCTTGGAGTAACTAGGAACAAGGGCCACAAACCGACAGAACAGATTTAGGTTGGACATCAGGAAGAATTTCTTTAGGATAAGGGTTGCCAAAGTCTGGAATGGGCGTCCAAGGGAGGTGGTGCTCTCTGCTGCCTTGGAGGTCTTTAAGAGGAGGCTGGACTCGATAATCTGCTACGGTCCCTTCCGACCCAAGCATCTATGAATCTATGAGTCCATGACCTCTGGAGGTGCCTTCCAACCTTACTTTTCTATGATTCAAGAATTGGAAGCATAATTCTGCCACTGCAGATTACAAAGTCTTCTGAATCCCCAAAGTGCCATCCCACAAGCCTCCGCCTTATATTTTAGAGGTATAATCATAATCCTGTACCCACAGTGCAATATGCAGTTTCACTAGCTTGCATTTTGAGATGGTTACAATGATAAAAGCAAATATTGGTAACAATCAATCATACTTACAGTTCCAGGCCTTGTGAAGTCAATACTATGCGCTACACTTTGCCGCATCTGATTACTAAACAAGCGAACGCAGACACTCTGAAGGTATTCCGGCGTGATCTAAAATAATGGAACAAACCAAGCACATAAAGTTACATAATACCTCCTTTTTCTTTCATGCTCTGGTCCTGGAGGTAGTTTTACCAGTTGTTGTCAGAAACGGAGCCCTTAAAATGAGTTCATTTATAGAACAACACATTCTACCCTGCAGACCAGAAACCTATGCTTGAGAATGGACAAAAATGGAAAATCTTTTTCATTTAGAAATACTTAAAACATTCTTCGGACTTGGTCTTGTCTACAAGACTGTGGTACAACACCCTCTCCCACACGGTCCACAAAGAAGGAAAAATTCATTACACTGAAGCCTGCATAGACCTTTTCCTTAGATAAAAGATAAATGGTGACATGGTCAATAATAAGCTGTTGAATATCTCAGTGCAATCAAGCCTATCTAAATGGCGTTCTTCCCTATACCTGAGAGCCCACTTACTGCTCCATAGCAGCTGAAGCAACGTGGGGAGTGGCAACTGGGTGGGAGCCCACAGGCCACACATTAACCCTTCACAGGCTGGCAGCCCACAGGCTGCCAGTTGCACAGCCCTGTTCTGTATTGCAGGGTTAACGCTTCAATCATC